CAATAAAAATAAGATTTAAAAAAAAAAGAAAGTCCCAGAGAACAGGTAATGAAACATACCTCTCTTCTAACTGAAGAGTTTGGGGAATTACGAGGACAAAATGTCAAATGTTCTCAGATATGGAAACTGTGTCAGTCTTTTTTTTCTTAATTGTTTTTCTTGTTCACAAGGAGGGGTTTAATCAGGAAGGGTCAGGGAGTTTCTAGAATTGACTGAAATATAAAGACAAAAATGTATCAATAAAACTTTTTTTTTAAAAAAGGGAAAGTAGGCAGTAAGATATTAATTAAAACAAAAAAAGAAATCTCTCTTGTAGAGCAGATGTTGGGCCCAGAGAAAGACCCTCATCTATTGCAGCACTTTCCTTGTACTCACTTAGATAAATGCCTCTGGTTCTCAGTGGCTAATGACTCTCCTTCCAATTTTAGTGACTTTGCTGATGGGAGAAAGTTGTAATGTGTAAGGCTGTAGCCGTCCACAAACATTTAGCAAATATCTTTTTCATGCTCTATAAGCATGGGCTTTCTGGCAAACTGCAGGACTGAGCAAATATTTGTTCATTTTGTTTTGATGCCACATGAGAATTTTTGAGGTTTCTTTAAGTGAAACTGTTTTTTATTAAATATTGAAGATGGAGTAGCCTCATGGAGGCATCAGGGCTTAAAAGTGACTTAAAAGTCTCTTCCACTCAAGTGGAAAACATTCACAGCAATTCAGAAATGTGGCATAAAATGTTCTATCAGAGAACTTTATGATAGGACCATTATATATCAGATTTCTTCTTCCCTCTGCAACAAAGATTAGTTTTCCCTAAAAGATAACAGAACAGTCCCTAGGACCTGATTGGCCCCTGCCTTCCATGACACAGTTTTCCTGGTTATATAAGATCATAAAAAGAAACATCCACTTGGAGTGGGGGGCGGGGGGAGGAGGAGAGGAGTCTCTGATTTGATAGATGTCTGAAGACAATGCAAATCCATTCACTCCACTGATCAGATGCAATTTTATATGAAGATGAAGCCGTTAGCTTCTTTAAAGAAATTAAGTATCTGTTTTCCCACAGCCCCTCTGGCATTTGTTATTTTCCTTTTTTTGTCAACTTAGCCAATCTGATGGGTATGAAGTAGTGGTATTTCAGAGTTGTTTTAATACGTTTAATATTAATATATGTGTGGAGCCTATATCAGATTGCACACTGTCTTGGCAAGGGGGAGAGGAGGGAGGGGGAAAATTTAGAACTAAAAATCTTATGGAAATGAATGTTGAAAACTAAAAATAAATTAATTAATTTAAAAAAAAAGAAATTATCAAGGAAAATTGCCCTGATATTCTAGAACCAGAGGGTAAAATAGAAATTGAAAGAATCCACTGATCACCTCCTGACTGAGATCCCAAAATTCCAGAGTGTCCAGGTCAAGGAGAACATATTGCAAGAAGCCAGAAATAAACAATTCAAGTATCACGGAGCCACAGTCAGGATAACACAAAATTTATCAGCTTCTCATTAAAGTATTGAGGGGGGCTTGGAATATGATATTTTGGAAGGCAAAGGAGTTAGGATTACAACCAAGAATCATCTACCCAGCAAAACTGAGTACAATCCATGAGAGGAAAAATGGATATTCAATGAGACAGAAAAATTTCAAGCATTCTTGAGAAAAGACCAGAACTAAATAGAAACTTTGATTTTTCAAATACAAGACTCAAGGGAAGTATGAAAAGGTAAACAGGAAAGAGAAATCATGTGGGACTTATTAAAGTTAAACTGCTTATATTCCTACATGGGAAGAGGGTATTGGTAATTCATAAGACCTTTCTCATTATTAGGGTAATTAGAAGGAGTATATATATATATATATATTATATATATATATTATATATATATTATATATATATATATATATAGACAGAGGGCACAGGTGCACATTGATTATGAAGGGATGATATCTAAAAAATAAAATTAAGGGGTGGGAGAGAAATGTACTAGGAGAGAGAGAAAGGGAGAGATAGAATGGAGTAAATTAACTCACATAAAAAAGGCAAGAAAAAGCTTTTACAGTGGAAGGGAAGAGTGGTGAGGTGAGGAGGAGTGAATGAACCTTACTCTCATCAGAACTGGCTCAAAGGGGCAGCTAAGTGGTACAGAGGATAGAGAACTGGCCTTGGAGTCAGGAGGATCTGAGTTCAAATCTGGCCTCAGACACATGCTACTCATTAGCTGTGTGACTCTGGGCAAGTTACTTAACCCTGATTGCCTCACCAAAAAAAAAAAAGGCTTACATGATAAGAATGGACTATTCTGGGACATAGTTCCAGTTTACCCTCTCTGGTCGTTTCTCATTCCTTCCCCAGTGCAGAGCTGCCTTGGTCTCAAGGTCCTTATCCCATCAGAAGGCTCCAAGTACTGTCGGGGGAAAGCTCAGGTCCTCCTAAATTAGTAGGTTTTTTTTCCTCTGGGATGGTTTGGACATCCCTTCCAAGAATGGGCTTGAGGGACCAAAGGGTAGTATTGTCGGATGGTGTCTCACTTTCTCAAAGCATGGAAGAGGCAAAACCGTTGCCACACAACTATGGTAAATATATAATTGTTGCATGTTCTTGCTATGTCACACCTAAGTAAACCTCCTTTTGCTAACTATTCAATGATTTATGAGTGCCATCCTAGCCAACTTGGCAATAATTCTGAGTCCCTGGATGGGGTGGGAAAGAGTCCTTACTTAGCCCCTAAGAAATATGGGGGCAGGCCTTGCGCAGAAATCTCTAAGGGGGCAAAGATTTTCTATTGTCTCCCCGATGCGGCTTTCAGGGAAGGGGAGATTTTGGTGAGTGAGTCAAGCAATACCAAGTGGGTGACAGTACCGGGAAAACCTCAGCATCCATTTAGCTCTCAGTACAGGCTGTGTACAAGAGGCTTATGAACTGAATTACTGCAGATGACCCTGATCTATAATGAAGAATTGCTGACCATGCCAACAGTGTCATCTGTGCTGCAACCTTGATGTTCATGGTGCTACTCTGGCCCCTCAGCTCATAGTCCTACTGTACATTAGGAGAGCCACTCTGAAGTGTAAAGACTCACCATCACCCATCATATAGACCAGTTTGTTAAGATATGAACCTCATTCCTTCAGGGATTTGTCTCTCAGGGACAAAAAGCCTAGAATTTCTGTCCTACACATTTTTTCCCTTTATAGTGACTTTTTTATCCTACAAACTTTTTTTCTTTCTTTTTTCTTTACGGTGACTTTTGTGGGGGGAGGGATGAACAGATAGGAGAATATAGAGTTCCCCTTAGTAGTGACTAAGCCAATATCGTCTTTGCCTCGAAAGAACGTAAGTGGTCGATGGCCTTCTAGAAGATCCTGAGCACCATGCTACCATGGGGATGGTATATAATATGATCAACATCTACCAGGCTTTCAACCCTCCACCCCTTCCTTTGCAGAAAGGATTAGTTTTCCCCACTTGACTCCTGCCTCCCTTGATCCAGCATCCTGGTCACCTAGGTTTTCTCTCCAGTGCTTTGTGTATGTTCATTTCACTTTGACCAGTGACCTGGCTTTGATCTTCTAATGTGGAAGCTCTAGAAAGAGGTCTCCTGTTAGTTAGGAAGGACATTAACCAACGAGAGTCATCCATAGAAGAGCAACCACACCACATAGTCAGCTCCCTGCTCTAACTACTTATACTGTTTTACTTTCTCTTTGTATCATCAGCCTCTGGCAGATAGTAGGTGCTTAATAAATGCTTGCTTGATTTAGTGTGAGATTCATAGACTCACAGAGTATTACAGTTAGAAGGTACCTAAGAGATCATCTAGTTCAATCTCCTCATTTTACAGATGAGGAAACTGAGGCTGAGAGGAGGACTTGTTTATATTCAAATAACACTAAGCAGAAGAATAAGAATTCCAACCCAGGTCTTCCGACCCCAAGTCCAAGGTTCTTTCTATTGTATAATACTGTCTCTATCTACTTTCATGTTTCATTTTAGCTCTCTACTATGAAGCAGTTTTGTAAACATTTTATTCTCTTTACAATTTTCATTTACATGATTTTACCTGTTAGTCAGAGACTTTGGAGAGCTACAATCTCTCACTTCTTGCTGAGTTTCAGTGCTTACAGTGAGTTGGTCAATATAGAAAATATTGTTAGGAACATAACTATTTATTTTCACTCTTCGTCCCTGAGCTTGACTTGGTGTTACTAAAAAGCACTTGATTAATTCTCCCTTTTGCCTCTTCCAAAGGACCATACTGTAATTCTCTACAAACTTACCAACATATTCTTGAGGGTAGAGATATTATATTATTCAACAGTGTAACACTGTACAGGTTTGCTTGAAGAAATCACTCAGAAAATCTTTGTCGAATTAATGAATGATAAATATGGGAACATCTATCTTTCTCAAATTATAACAGGGAGGTAATAGATTTAAAGGATGGAAGAGATTATTTTATAGATGAGGAAACTGAAGTTAATTGACTTGCCTGGGGTCACACAAATATATTGTAAATGGTAGGTAGGTAATACATGGATAGAGTATGGGGTTTGAAGAAAGGAATATTCATCTTCCTGAGTTCAAATCTGACCTCAGACACTTACTAGCTGTGTGACCCTGGGCAAGTCACTTAACCTTGTTTGCCTCAGTTCCTCATGTGTAAAATGAGCTGCAGAAGGAAATGCAAACCAATCCAGTATCTTTGCCAAAAAAAAAAAACCCAAAACAAAACAAAAACCCAAATAGGGTCATGAAGAGTGGGATATGACTGAAAACAACTGAACAAGAACAAGAGCTGGGATAAGAACTCAAGTCTTCTGACTCCAGATCACCATTCTTTCTACTACATTATTTAAAATAAAGGACATGTTTAAAATACAAAAATGAATAATGAAAATAAAGAGTTATTTAATTAACAATTGAATCATATATAAATATGTCAAATCTAGAAAGCTGTCAAATACAAAAAGAGAAATGCCACAAAAACTTGGTCTTCCTACCTTTAAGAAAGGGCTCTGTTTGCATCTGGAGCCTTATCTTAACCAGGTCCATAGGACCTCCAAGTCCTACTGAAACCACGCCTGACATCATGCTAGCCAGAAATAAATCTGACAGGGAGCTTGAACTGTTAGATTCTTCATAGCGGTACTGGGTGAGGAACTTCTGGGTATTGCTGAAGACACCAAACACCACAGAGCTGTAGACGGCAAAGCTTGTCAGTGGAAAAGACATTCCTTTAAAGAACCCCGTCACCTAACAGTGAGATAAACCAAAAGTTAATAGGCGTATAGGCTTAAACTAGATCCCGGAGAAGGGGTAAAAAAATACATCTTCTTCCTTTTTCTTCAGGAGTCAGGAACTATAAGTGTGAAATAATGTACATCTTGTCAGATATAGTGGATATGTTGGTTAGCATAGGGAAAGTTCTTTTATTCTTTTGCTTTTTTAAATCTTTGTTACAAAGGATAATTTGCTAGGAAATAGAGAGGGGAGGGAAATGTTCAGAAAGGAATGTTATATAAAAGCAAAAGATAGCAATAAAAGGAATACTAAAAATAAAAAAATTCAAGGCTTGTCTCACAGTTCTTTTCTTTCTAGAGGCTCAGAAAACATCAGCCTGTGATCTCTATATCTTCCACCTTACAAAGTAATTGTTATTGTTGTTTGACCTTCATTTCAAAGAGGACAATGACATCATGGGGTAATGTCTTGACTTATGTGTAAACTGGATTTAAGTGAGGCAGGGTTGCACAGAGTCATCAGCCTCATTCTCTCTTCCAGAGTCAGCAAAGCCCAGCAGCTAGACAACAGTCAAGATGACTCACGATGGCCTGGGATACAGTGGATGACCTTGATGTCTTCCATGTCTAACCAAGCTCTAAGCACTCCACCGTGCCTGCTTCAGCCACCTTCATGGCTGTTACAACAAATTATTCTTATCTGCCTATTCCACCAGGGGAAGTCTTCACATGCTTGGAGTAGACATCCCCATAGCCTGTGGGTTACCTTCAACCTGGTTTAGCCTGTCTACAGAGACAGTTTTATTGGGTTGTGACCACTGCTTATGCTACAGCTTCTTGGAGGGACAGGTGAGAGCTGGGTAACAAGTGGACACCAAAGGTGAATGAGTTTCCCTGAAAAAGGCCACTACAGGGTAGTTAGTGCCTAGTCCAAGGGGGTGGACTGGAGGCAGCTCACACTGGCTCCCATGATACCATTGTTAAATTTTCAGTATGAGCATTTATACCTTGGAAATCAGCAAATGCTACAAGTGATTTGTTGTTTTGTTCATTGTCTAGACTTTAGAAAGTTATGGAGAAAATGTCAATAATGCAGATTAAACTTAAAAGTATTTCAGGCATGCATTTTTTTCAGAAATCTAGTCATTAAATATATACCAGCACACCCCTAATAGCAATCTAACTCTGAGGTGTGTAAAGGAAACAGTTTGCCCTTTAGCTATGGAGCACAAGGTGTATCATCCAACCTTTCTTCTTTACCATCTCCAGTCTAGTATGAATTCAAGGGCTCAGATGTCTGAACATAGTCTTACTACTAGTTACTTGCCCAGTGGAAGAAATGATACATTAAAGATCAAAAAAAAGAAACATGTCAACTGTATCCATTTGGTCCCTTCTATACTTTCTTTTCTTTTTTTTTTAAAGGCAATTGGGGTTAAGTGACTTGCCCAGGGTCACACAGCTAGTAAGTGTCAAGTGTTTGGTCTGAGGATGGATTTGAACTCAGTTCCTCCTTACTTCAGGTGGGTGCTCTATCCACTGTGCCACCTAGTTGCCCCCCCTTCTATACTTTCTGATGGGGGCTAGGGAATGCCATTCAGTTTTTATTCACTCTTCCAAGGTGTCTTTGATATAGATGTAAAAAATAAATGATGTAGATGAGCCAGGCCTCAAAAATAACCCACTCAATCTAGCTACATTTCATTTCTATCTACATCATTTGTTTCCATGAGAATCTATGTGTTTGGTAGACTTAGTGTTCTTACTGTCTAGGTAAATATTTATATTCTCTCGAGGGAAGACAGGTAACATAGAGTGGTAGGTAGAGAGCTGTCCTTGGAGTCAGGTTAACCTGAATTTATGTCCTGCCTCTGACCCATATGAGCTATGCAACCATCTCTAACTCATAACTTCTCAGATTCCCCTAGGTAACTCTCCAAGACAGTAAATTACAGATGACTTGCCAATTTGTATCAATGGAAAGACTTCCCATACTGTGAGCTCCCTAGACAGATGAAATTATAGGACCAGGACAATAAAAATAGAAAGTAGGAATTACTTAGGATAACTTAGGAGTAAGAGCGGGGAATCAATCTATTCCAAGCATTTATTAACACTACAGGGACCACATATATCAATTGATGTAAAAATAATGTAACTTTACTTTGAAATAAAAATTTTCATCCTATTAACTCTAATTTCTTTTCATTGTAGATTTTTAAAAATGCACTTCATCAATTGATGCACCCTGGTCTTAAATTCTGCTTCTAGTGTTAAATACCTGCCATCTGCTTAGCACAGAAAGTGTTCCAGGCCTTGGGTATAAACATAGACAAAAATTAAATAGTCCCTTGTCATCCACTATAAGAAAGGACACTGACTGTGGGGGAGGATGAATGGATATAAATGGAACTTTGATGAGGTCTAAAGGATGAGTGGCTGAATTATTGCTGAAAACTATTTTTAGAGTTATTAATTTCATCTGGGCTACTTCATCATCAAAGGTACATTTTAGCCAAATTTTGGTTGCACAGATTCTGCATGATTTAATGAAGTATGTGTGTGTGTATGTTTATTTTTCGCATTAAAGATAACAAAGATATTGGGAGGCCTCTAGGTTATACCTAGTCACCTCAGTCTGCACCCACATGGACTACATTCCTGTATATGCCAAATTCAGGACAGGTACATATATACATGCATGTGCACACACACAAACATATAACCTAAGAAGAGCTAAGGCTCTTCAGGGCCTTTCTTAACCGTGAAATGTTACTTTTCAGTTCAATTCTTCCCTTTGTTATGGATCTCCACAGAAAGCCCATTTTTTTTTTTTAGTTTTTAGTGGGTATGCCATTTATCTTGGGTGAGTCTGTAGAAATTACCAAAATGGGGACAAGAAATACCCATATTTTTGAGAACTCTTCAGTTACAGAACATTATGCTTTGTGAGTGGAGTAAAAATACAAGACATGTAGTTTCATTGCTCAGTTTTAGAGAGAAAATGGCCTTTATAAAGAGAACTATTTTACTTCAACCTTTTAAAGATCTGTGATTTTGTAGAGGTATTCCTGGTACCAATGCACACCACAGCCACCTTCACCTTAATAGAATGTTTCAATGCATTACTATGGCTGAAACAATCTGTCACCTCATAATAAGCTTTCTAGTGATAAGTCTTTCCAAATAACAGGTATGGTTCACTGACCCTGTAATGGGGCCTATAAAAAGAACTATAAAGACTTACTAAAATAATATATATTTCATCCAATTGAACCAAATGGCACAAGGCAAGCTATTTGACAGGTCTAAGCTACCATCTTCTGACTGAGGAGACCCAAATGCATTTTAAATAACTATATATTTTTCCCTAGTTATTCAAGGAAAAAATAGTTTTCCATAAGTATTTTAAAACTTTAAAATTATCTTTTGCTTTTTACATTAAGTTTATTTCTTAATATATCTTTTCCCCTACCCTACAAAGCAAGTCATCCATTGTTCACAAAGAATAATGGAAGAGTGAAAAAAATGCAATTCAGCAAAATTAGCTAGCACTTCAATTGATATTTCATACCCATGATCCCCTAGCTCCTGCAAAGAAGGGAAGGAGATAAAGTGCCTTAAACCTTATCATTACTTTGAAGTCTCCATACCCTCCTTACTGATAGTACTAAATACCAACATATAGCATCTTCCACCATGAAAAGACTTCAAAAATCTTAAATTCAACAAGCATTTAAGTACCTACTGTGTTCCATGCTTGGCACTGGGGAGACAAAGCAAAAATGAAAAAATGGTCTCTATCTTCAAGGAGATTACAGTGTATGTGTGTGTGTGTGTGTGTGTATTTAAAGTCTCATAATTGTGTGGGAGGGGGACTTGCACATTTTCTTGTGGTATATTTGTTATTTAACCAGTTCTCTCCAATTCATAACCTTGGATTCTAGCACCCCAAGCAACCTCATGATGATAATCAATGAGCCTTGCTCCAGAGATCAGGAATAAAAAGCACCTGCCTTGGGGATCTTCCTGTCCAGAATGAAGAGAAGATATTAATATACAGTGCAGGCAAATGGCTTAATTTTAAAAAAAAAACTGCAACAGGATGAAATAGCCAGAAAAGACAATTTTTTAAACCTTCAAAAACAATAAGCATGGATGTCACTATGGTAAAGAGTATTCCATGCTGCAAAAAGTCTCTGGATACTCTGTCCCTTTGCTGCTTCTATGAAACACTTCTCAATGAAAGAGTTCACCACATCTACTTTCAGAGCTCTTTTATTCAGTCACATACATTATGCATGGACACATGCTCTCTCTCTCTGTCTGTCTCCCCCTCTCTCTCTTTCTCTCTTTCTCTGTGTGTCTCTGTCTCTCTCTATGTGTCTGTCTCTGTTTGTCTCTCTGTCTCTGTCTCTGTCTCTCTCTCTCTCTCTCTCTCTCACACACACACACACACACACACACACAGTTACTTACACTTTCCTTTTTATACGTAGTGAGAATGCAATTCAGTGTGTTTTGATATCCTGTTCCAGCTTGCAAGCGAGTCTGTTGAGAGATTTAGGAATGATGAGAACTTAGAAGTATAAGACCATGGAATGTTAGAGCTATGAGGAACTGTAGACATAATTAAGTCCAGATCCTTCATTATCTGGATGAGGAAAGTAAGGTCCAGGAAGAGAAGATAAGTTAGGTAAGGTCCCTATATAGTAGCAAAGCTGGAACTAGAACTCAAACTGTGGAAGGAACACAAAACTGTAGTCTTTGCCCTCAGAGAGTTTGCAATCTATTTGGTAAGATGAAACACATAAAAATATGACAACTTAGATAACAAAAGCATCTATGCTAACTGTAAAATGAATGGAACTGACAATCTGAACAATAGGAATTTAGATAGGGAAATATCATTATGGTCTAGATTTGCTAAGAAGACGAGCTTCATGGAAATAGTGGGCATTCAATGGACCCTGAAATTATCTCACCTTCAGTATCAAGACTAAATGAAACACATTAATTCAATGGTGATCAATCTATTCCTTCTGACCTAAGCCCTCTTCCTATCCCCATCTCTACCAATGGCAACTGTTTCTTTCCTCTTTTCATTGTAGATTGCTCATTCTATTCCTTCCTTTTCCAACTGTTTGCCATCTTTTTCCTCTTTTTCTTTTTTCTCCCCTACTTCTGTCTGATTTTCCAGTGATATAAATTACAATTGCTTAGTTCCAATGGCACAAAAATAATTAAAATAGTAATAATGATGGTGATGACAACTAACATTTACACAGAAGTTTAAGGTTTATAAAGCACTGCACATACTTCACCTCAAGTGTTCTTTACATCAACCCTATGGGGCAGATACTACAGGTATTAAAAAGTTGATTATAAAATTTCAGAGTAGAAATACATCTACCCAGTAGAGTATCCTCCAGCTGTGACATTTCATTGTTAGCAATGATTTGGATAAAAAAACATAGATGGCATGCTCATCAAATTTGCAGGTTACAGAAGATGACAGAGTTTCAGGAAAAAAAAAACAGCAAAGGTCCAACAAACAATTCCTCAAAACAGATCTGGAAAACACACTAAACTAAGTGCTGATTGAGAAAGCCAAGAAGAAAATCACAGGGAGTCATTTTTCTCAGCTCAGATTGGCATAAGGAAACAGACAGTGTTTCTCTATGACATTGGGGTGGAGTTTATCCAAGAATAGCTTCATGTAGCAGTCCAGGGAAAGGAGAGGTTGTGCACTAGGGCAAGAAGAGATGCTCAATCCAGAACAAGGAGTCTAAATGAATACAGGGCACAGGAATCACTACCAAATGGCAACTCTTTTGTTCCCTACCCAATTCTGGGTCATAGATCCAGGACAGAAGGAGGATCTGAGCACCAAAAAAAGAGTAAGCTCAGAAGCAGTAAGCTTCACAATTCTCTATCTAGCAGCAGAGCAGGGTCTCAGTTCCAGCATCCAACCCAATATAAAGCCTGCAGGCAAATAATGAAGACAGAAATCCAAGACTAAAAGAAAGCTAGCAGTTCTGTAACTCATAGTGGCTGAGTCCAGCAATTGTCTATCGGAATTCCAATTGGTGTATATTATTCAGACCCAAACTCAGGTCAGGAACTCATGGAGCTCACAGTAAGAAGGCAGAATAAGATGGTGCCATGGATCAGACCATTTTGGAAGCAGTGACAGCTTGCAGATCCCCAGCCTAAACCATCTCTGAAATCCTGGAATAACACAATGCTCAATACAAAAGGAAAACTGCAGCAGGATCAGCCTAGACATTTCCTCCAGAAGGGTATAGAACCAAGTCCAAACACAGAGTCTGAAGTCAGGAAGAAGACTGGAAGAATGAATAACACCCCTAAATGAATCCCATCATAAAAATGAATATGGTGATAGGGACACTCAGGACATAAACCCAAAAGTAGAGAATGACCCCAAAACAACTGCAAGCAGAGCCTCAAATTAAAACACAGATTGGGAACAAGTTCGACTAGAATCTCTGGCAGAGGTAAAGCAAGGGTTTGTAATAGTTTAAAATGTTTTTAGAAATTAAATGAGTATGCTAGATTTTTAAAAAATAGAAAATAATAAGAATGGAAGAATGATTCAGAAAAGGAATTAATAGCTTGGAGCAAGATACACAAAACCTTACCCAAACAACAAACTTTCTTAAAAGTAGAATGAGTCAAATAGAAGCCAATAACTCTGAGACAACAAGAAATATTAAAACCAAGTCAAAAGAGTAGGGGGCAGGGAGAAAATGTAAGATCTCATTGCAAAAACAATTGATCTGGAAAACAGATCAAGGAAAGATAATTTAAGAATCATTGAACTACTTGAAAGTCATGACTGAAAGAAGAACCTATACATCATATTACCAAAATAATAATAATTATAAAATAAAACTGCTCCAATCTCTTAGAACCAGAGGGAAATATGGAAATCAAAAGAATCTGCTAGCTATCCCCAAAGGAAACCACAAAAGGAAGACTCCCAGGGACATTAGAGACAAAATGTAAAGCTTCCAGGTCAAAGAGAAAATACTGCAAGAAGCCAAAAAGAAAGAATTCAAGTATCAAGTAATCAGAGTCAAGATAAAACACAATTTTACAGCCACCACTAATAAAGGATTGGAGTGCTTGGTATAAAATATTCCCAAAGGTAAAAGATAAAGGCTTAAAACCAAGAATAATTCTCCCAGAAAAAAATGACAGGGGAAAAAACTGGTCTTTAATGAACTATGGTTAAACATTCCTGATGAATAGTCCAGAGCTGAATAAAAATGTTGAAGTACAAACTCAGGAGTCATATAGAACAGAGATTGGACTTACTCTGTGTGGCCACAGAGGGCAGAATCAGGAACAATGGATAACTGTTGCAAAGAGTCAAATTTAGGCTTGATGTTTAAAAAATTTCCTAAGAATTAGAACTGTCCAAATATAAAATGGACAGTCTAGAGAGGTAACGGGTTTCCCTGCTTCAGAAGTCTTCAAGTAGAGGCTGAATGACCTTTTGCCATGTACGCTGTGCTGGGGATTCCTTTTGTATACCTAGATAGATCCATTACAGACACAGATCCATTCCAACTCAAATTCTGTGAAATAGGGATGTTGAGTCTAGAGAAGAGAAGACTTAGGGGGTGCAAGATTTTTATCTTAAAGTGTTTGGAGGGATGCAATAGAGAAGTGGGAGAAGATTGATTCTGCTTCGCCACAACACTAGGATCAGTAGTTGAGCCTTGGAATGAGGTCAGTTTAGGGTTAACATGACAACAAGAACTTCCTGATAATTAGGGATGTCTGTCCATTGAATGGTCTTCCTCATAAAGTAGTAAGCTTCCTATCACTGGGTATATTCAAATAAATGCTAGATTGCCAGTTGCCCAGTATACTGTGGTGGGTATTCTTGTACTGTGGTGGAAGTTGTATTCAGTGACCTCTGTTGTATGCCCAAACTTTAATCTTCTATTATATTCTGCTTGTAGAATTTAGACTCCTAGTTGGCTCCTATCATTTATGTATTGAAATTTACTAAAATGAATTCTAACCTCTAATTAAGTAACTACTGCTAGCAATTTAGACGCTCTCAGGAATGCCCACTGGCAGTTTGTACTCAGCCCTCAAGAAGCTTGTATTCTATCGAAGCAAACAAATCCCTACTGATTTTAAAAATGTCAAAAATGCAATAGTTTAAGTAGTGGTGATTATTTTTTTTTCACAGCAATCCTGTAGTTAGCACAAGTAATGTTGGTTTCCTTTTTTTTGGGGGGGGGCTTGTTCTAGACCTGATTTCATCTGTGTGGAACTTCCTCCATCAGTGCAGATAAGTAACTCATCTTTTAACTTTTAGTCTTAGAAAGTTATTTGGGTCACTAAGTGGCTTGTCACTAAATGACTTGCCATAGTCACATGGCTAGTGTGTATCTGAGGTAGGACAAGTCTTCCTTACTCCAAGGCTAGCGAGCCATTTGTCTGCCTGTCATCTTGATTTAATAGATGAGCAAACTGAAACTGAAATTCAGAGAGGATTCCCCAAGGATAAGATACATTTAGGAAGTGACATAGCCATAGGTTTTCTGATGCCAAGTCTAGTGTTCTTTTTACTACCTTACACTATGGTCAAGAGTATATCCATTTGTTTTTCTACAGGAACCATCCCTTAGATAAACACATTCAAATGATTCAACAAGAGTGAGAGTTCCTTAGACATAATTTGTTCAACTCATAGGGCATCAAGCCCCCAAGACATTCTTTCCTTGCATACTAGGCCTTTCATAGGGCATGGCCATTCTTCATTGTGCTCCATGCACCTCATCTTTATTTTCAGGTCTATTAAATTAAAATATGTCACCACTGGTGACATGGAGAAAGAATATAAGCCAACATGGTAACTGAAGTTGTAGGGTGATGACAAACCATAGGGCTTCCAAAATCCAGCCCATGTTAGTAGCAAGCTCAACTTTGGCCAAGGATAACCATTTTATTTAAAATCAAACAAAGCATTTTTGGTTTCGTTTTTCTTTTTAAGTATGGATAATACCTAATTAGTGTCACTTCCTTTCCCTTAATACAATAAATTACTTTTGTCTAAGAATGCTCCTGAATGCATTGAAACCAAGCACAATTGAGTGATTAATCACCAAGAATTTATTTTGCATTAAATATGTACCAAGAATTGTGATAGGTGCTAAGGGTATAAAAGCAAAAATGAAGTAGTCTCTGCCCTCAAGAAGCCTGCATTCTATAGAGTGAGACAAAAATGATGATGAAGATGATGGTGATAACTAGTATTTATATAGCATTTTAAGGTCTACAAAGCATTTTACATATGCTATGTAATAGACACAGACTTTGTACATATTAGACATAAATCTAATATTTGCAAAATTTATACAAGGTAATGGGGTGGAAAGAATTAGTGCTGGGGTATCCAGAAAAGTCTCCTAGAATATAGTGCTTTTATAAGAAGATAGATATCCTAAGAGGTGGAGAATGATAAAATGGAGAAAGAAATGGTAGAGGGAAAAGCACACAGGATTTGAGTCCTGACTCTGCTACTGGACAAGCTCTAAATTCCCTCCCAGCTCTAAATCCCAAGCACTGACCCCAGGATTCTGCAAGAAATGTATTTTGCAAACCTTTTAAATCTTATCGTGCTATGTAAATCAGAGACCAATAGTCTTATACTATATTATAATAGCAATACTATTATTTCAATACGACCTTACTCAGTAACTATTTGAATTCTGGCATGCCACTTTACTTGTCTGGTCCTAATCTCTGCCTTTTTCATCTATAAAATTAGGGTAATGATATTTGTACTTACTCCACAGAGTTGTTGTGTGGATTACATGAGACAATGGATGTAAGATGATAAACCAATGTGTGCCATTATATTTGTTAGAAAGCATGAAGGCCTGAAGGAAAAGGCTAAGTCAGTCAACCATTCTACTGCATTCAGTTCCTACTATGTGCCTATTACTATATTAAGTGCCTAGTATATGTCAATCACTGGGGATACCAAAGAAAAGCAGGGGGAAAAAATCCCTAATCTTAAGTAACTCACTATATAATGGAAGAGAAAACATGCAAATAACTATATACAAACAAAATATATTCAAGGTCAGTTAATCTCAGAGCGAATGCACTAAGGAGGCCTAGGAAAAGTTTCTTGCAGAAAGTAGGACTATAGGTAAGGCTTGAAGAAAGCCAGGGAAGCCAAGAGGCAGAGATGAGGAGGATGAGAATTCCAGGCATGAGGAGGCAGCCAGTGAAAATACTTGGCATGGGAGATGCAGCATACTGTTCAAGGAACAGAAAAGAGGCCCATGGCACTGGATTGCAGAGTATACGGAGAGGAGGAAGATGTAAGATTGAAAAAGGAGGAAGGGGCCAGATCATGAAGGACTTTTAAAGACAAGAATTTTATATTTTAGCATTAAGGTAACAGGGAGTCACTAGATTTTATTGAATAAGAGAGTAACATAGTCAAATCTGTGCTTTTAGGAAAATCAATTCTACAGCTGATTTTAGGATGGATTATAGAGGGGGGAAACTTGAATCAGGGAGATCCAATGGAGATTGCAATGGTCCAGACATAAGGTAAACAGAGCCTGCGCTAGGGTGGTGTCAGTATCAGAGGACAGAGATGTAAAGGAAGAAACAACAGGGCTTGGCAATTGATTGGATATGAGGGATGGGTGAGAATGAGGAGTCAAGGATGCCTGATCTCTAGTTTATAAACCTGGGGGAGTAGGAGGATAGCGGCACCCTCCACAGTAAAAGGAAAGGTAGGAAAAGGAGACAATCCTAGGGAATAGGCAATGACTGAGGGAAGACATATTTTCATTCTTTTCCCCATGATGAGTTTTGTACGCTTACATTCCATCCTGAAAACATTAGCATCCGGCAATGCAATCCTCATATACCAACATTTTCTAAGTTTGGCAAAAATCAGGCACACTAACTGGTTATTCTCTCATCAGAAGTACCTCCAGTTTCCTTCCCTCTTTGATATTTCTCGCATGTCCCCTCTTACATTTTCTTCAATAACAAGGTGTCTAGGTGATGTGGCTTCAGAGTACTGGCTTCAGAGTCAAGAAGCCTTGAGTTTGAATCTTACCACTGTGTAACTATGGGCAAGTCACTTAACTTTATCCCTTCATTTCTTCATATGTAAAATGAGGGGTTGCATTTGATGGCTTCCAAGGTCCCTTCTAAATCTATATCTATGATCCTCTGTTTTAAAACACTTTTAGAAAAGAGTTGGAAGTCAACTTGAGAATTCCCAAGAAAGGGAACTAGAACTTCTAGACAGCAGGATTCTTTGACTCGGACAGGAAGACATTCTGGATCAGAGTCCCTTTGGGGGCAGTAGGACCCATTCCGGTGCTTCTCACTCACACCTCTTATGTGAACCAGAAAGCATTAGGTCAGTAAGAGTCTTATCCTACACAGCCATTATTCTTTATTCTTCAAAATGGTGATGGGGAACTGCATCCTCCATACCTTAACTGTGTCCATAGGATGACCCACAATGACACTTGTAGCACCTGTAGATGAAAAGAAAAACAACTCAATATGGTGAGTCCTAACTCATTCCCACTTAACTCACAACATTGAAAGACAAATCCGTTTAGGATTCATTTCACAAAACCAGCAATGTGTACGCTTTGCAAAAGGGAGGCATCTATGTCCTAAAGTCTCTCACACATAGCATAGGCACTTACAGTCTATAAGTAGTTTTAAAATATCATTATAAATATGAATCAGGCAGGAAACCAATCCTATTGAAACTTTTAACTATCATATCTGATGGATGATGAATATGGAATACTCACATAGATGGTGTGACCAAGAAGAGCCAGATCAAATTAACACATCACAAAGGATAAAGCCATTATTCTCTTTTAGGAGATCTCTTCCTGTACTCAGTAAACTTAAAACCTCCATTTGGGACTTTGATAAGTCAAAGGGGAGAGTATCCTCTTGCCCCAGGGATACTGTAGCCCCCACCCCCAATCAAGGAGATTGCATCGAAAGGTACCCTAAATATCAGTTCTCTACCAGTCAAAAATACTTTGCATTTTCTTTATAAATGTTTTTATTCATTCATTCATTCATTCATTTATTTGTGTTTCTCCCTACTAGAATGTAACTTCCTTGAAGGCAGGGATTTCTTCAAGTTGCTTTTTTTTTGAGGGGGTGGGGTGGAGATTAGAGGAGGTCTTTGTATTCCTTACCCAGTACAGCATTTTAGCAAACAGTAGTTACACACTCAATTCATGACTTATATATACCTCTTCAAAGACAAAATAAAGGCCTTACCCTTTAACCATTCTTGACCTGACTTCTCCTTGTCACACCATGTACACACTTCAGACTTCATCATATATGTGGCATCAATGAGGATATTTATACTTTACATTGGGAAATAGCTTCAAAGCCAAAATAACACCTTTTAACACTACTAATAAACCTTAATCTCTGCATTGAGCCTCATCTCTGAAGTGAGAGTGTTGGACTGGATGACCTCTGTAGCTCACTAAATTCTGTGATCCTATGATGCTAAGATTATTGGTCAATTGTCCAAGGTCAAAGAGGTAGTAACTTGCAGACCTGGGATTCGAACCTATGTCCTTTGTTGCTAAATATGGATCCTCTTTTCTCTCTAGATTTTTGTGACATTGCTCTTTCTTGATTCTTTTCCTACCTCTCTGACCAGTCATTCTCTACCTCTTTTGCTGTATCATAATCCTTATCTTGACCCTAGGGCTTGATATATTCTATGGCTTTGTCCTGGCACCTCTTTTGGTATTCTCTCTTACTACTCTCATCAGCTCCTGTGGATTCAGCTATCATCTCTATGCAGATGACTCCTGAGTTCCAGTGTCGTATCTCCAACTGCCTGTTGGACATCTCCACCTCAATGTCCCATAGGCACCTCAAATTCTGCATATCTAAAACAGAACTTATTACCTTCTTTCCCTAAACTAAACCATCCTTCTAACTTCCTTGTTTCTCCCAAGGGCACCTGTGAGGGATTGTCTGGTGTTCGCTACTGCCAAGTAAGGATTGTGGCAAGATGGGGTAGGAACTAGATATTAGGAAGTAACCGGAGCTCACGCTCCCGAGGCAGGGGCAGTGCTATGTGGAGCTGTGACAAGCTGGAGAAGGAACAGGGTACGAGGAAGTAGCCGGAGCACGTACTCCTGAGGCAGGGGCTGTGCCATGTGGGAGTGGGACGGCAGAGAACGAGCTCCTTTGTCTAGCCCCCCTTCCTAGGCACCACGCTAACCCCAGACGCCTCCTTCCTGTGTCCAAACCTGACTTCCTGAGTCACGTACTCTCCCTAGGTGTAGCACTGACCCCAGACGCCTCCCCCCAGTATCTGGGCCCGACTTCCTGCGTCACGTATGCTCCCTTTGTCTAGGCACTAGCCCTAGACATCCCCTTCCGATATCTGATCCTACAACGAGTCACTATGGGCGGGCTGAGGAGGAGGGACGAGGAAGGTACTTAAAAAACAGTAGGGATCGGAGCGTGCTCGCTTTTTGCTCCAGCTCGTGTGCGTGTACTTTCCTGCCTGGCCTTGCTGTGATGATCATTGAATAAAGTTCAGGTTTTGTACCTCCTGATCAGCTCGTTTCTAGTAAATCCGGGTGGCCTCCAAGGACCGGTGAGTATGACCCTGGTTGCCTGATCTGGCTGAAAGAAAGTGCGCGGTTTGGACCGGCACAGGCACCACTATATTTCCAGTCACTAAGGTTTGTAAACCAAGAGTCTTACTTGACTCTGCATTCTCTCTCATACCTGATAATCAATCAGTTCCTAAGTCCTATTGATTAACTATATCACATATTTAGGCTTTAACCCTAATCCTTTTCTCTACTCATATCATAACTACTCTAATTCAAGTCCTTATCACCCCTTACTTGGACTATTATTATAGCCTTTGAATTTTCTTCCCTGTCTGTAAGTCACTCCCCCTCTCCCATGTACCCTCCACACAGTGGAGCCAGATCGATGTTCCTGAAGCAAAAGACTAATCATGTCATTCCTCTGCTCAAAAGGTTTCAGTGGCTTCCTATTTCCTGGAAGACAAAGTGCAGGCTTGCCTTTATTAGCATTTAAAACCCTTCGTAGATTTTTTTTCAGGCTGATTACACATTACTCCCCATTATAGACTCTTGATTCCAACCAAACTGACCTTTTCCTCACACATGACATTTTATCTCCCACATGCATGCTTTTGCATTGGACTCAAAAATGGATCTCCATAACTTTCGTGCATTGTTTCTGGGTTCTTCCCTTTAGGACCAAGTCAACAAGTACAACTGCTCTTCAATGCAGACAACCCTTTAAATACTTAAAGCCAGTTACCATGACCCTCACAAATCTTTTCTTCCCCAAGCTAAACAGAGAAGCTAAAATAAAGCTCTTTCCCATTTGTAATCACTTTTTTAAAAAAAAGTATTTTGAATATAGTATATATTTACTAATATGTGTACATCTTTTGTTCCCCCCCCCAGAAGAATGCAAAATCCTTGAGGTCAGAGACTAGTTCACAGCTGTCTTTCAGTTAGCCTGGGTTGCAGAAGTGAAGAGGTAATACATTTCAGGCATGGGAGTCAACCTGCTCAAAGACATGGAAATAGGTATTGGAAGGTAGGAATAGTGTGTGTAATAACAAGAAATCCAATATGGCTGGACCAACTTAATAAAAGGTTTATATATCATAAATTTGAAAAGGAGTTTGGATCCAGGTTGAAAAGCACTATAAATACCAAACAGAAGGGTTTGTATTTGATCTTAAAGGTAATACAGAATAATAGAGGTAATAGAGGTAATAGAGCTTACTGAGCCAGGAAGTGACATGGCCAGACCTGTGCTTCGGAAATATCATTTTAACAACTGTATGGAGGATGGATTGGAGAGGAGAGGCACAGGAGGACGAGGGAATAACAAAGAAGTTACTGCAATAGTCCAGGTCACATAGAATAAGGGTCTGAAAGAGGGTAGTTTTGGTGTGAGTAGAGAGAAGGGAATGGTGAAAGAGATGTGGACAGAGTATCTATAAGATGTGAGGAGTCAAGGAAAATTTCAAGGTTACAAACCTTAGTGATTGGAAGGACAGTGGGTACCCTTGACAAAAATAGGTCAGCATGGAAGAGGGGTGAGTTCTGAAGAAACAGTGAGCGCTATTTTGGATATATTAAGCTTGAGAGACCTAGAGCATATCCAGTTGGAAATGTCCAACAAGCAGTTGTTGATGTGGGCCTGGACCTCAGAAGAGAATCCAGGACTAGATCTGGAAGTATATATGCCTACAACATTGATGTTTATAAGTACAACCTAACATGCTATAAAAGTGTGAGTTATTATTATTGTTGGGGCTTTCCCTATAAATTCCAATATTTCTCTTGACATCTTATATATGCTATATGTGTACAAGCAAGGAAGGCATCATGGTACAGGGGAAAGAACACTGAACACGGAGTCACAGGACCTGATTTCAAATTCCAGTTTTGATATTGTTTGACCCTAGGCAAGTCACTTCACATCCTTGTGCCTCAGCTTCCTTATCTGAAAAATGAATGACCCCTAAGGCCCCCTTCCAGCTCTACATTTGTGATTTTCCTTAACTTCCACATAAATTTCACCAACTCTCATGGACACCATCTTTGGGGGTAATATAAGTGCTTGCTCAGAGGCACCACAGTGTGTGTGGGGCAGTCTAGGAGCATTTTCCTGCCAAAGAGTCTTTCTCTCACGAGGTGAATGAAGATAAAAATGATAAGAGAAAGAGTAAATGGGAGCATTGGAGACAGTCCAAAGAAGAGAAGAGCCACAAAAGACCTGTTCAAATCAGAAGAAAAGTAAATGAATCACTGAGGAAGGAGAGTAAGGTTAGCGAATAATAGAGAGCACAGAAAAAGAATACAGTCTTCCTAGTGACCTTTTGACTGTCTTCCAGGCATCTTTTTCTCCTCTATTGGAGGGGAAGGAAGAGCCATGGAGAAGAATGGGGAATAGGGCCAAGTGTGCTTGAATGAATAGTGATTTTAGGAAAAAGGACAAATGAGAGCAACTAAGTGGTCCAGAGGATGCCAAAGAGCAGTTTTGAAGAAATACTGGAGAAAATAAAAAGGCTTAAACAAGACTAACAATGGGAATGGAGGAGTGGGAAGGAGGAGAAGAGGTGATAAATGGGGAAAAGGTAGAATTTTCTCAAAGTTAACGGGAAATAAACACATCTAAAAGGTTTCTGCAGCCTTTTTTCATGTCAGTCCAAACCCCTAGCTACTTCAGTAACACTGCCAGCTTGAACAATTAGATAATTTGACTGTATGCTACCTCCTTGCCAAGGCTTTCGGGCTAATTCGTTCTGACAATATGGATGGCTGTATCTCACAAATTAGCTCCAACCTGCTCTATACTTGCTCAGCCCTCTTAGACTCCATCAGTCTCCCAAAGGAAGCACTAGCCCTTCCTTTCCTCCTCTTAACTGCCATAAAATGGGAATTCACAAGTCATCCTGAATCCTACTAGCCCCACCCCTCCATAAAGGTGCAGTCAGCAACAAACATTGTCAAAACACTCATGTCATATGTTTCTGTTGCGTTAGAACACACACTTATCAAGATTTCTCACTGGCAATCAGATATGTCCAGTCATAAAAGGGTGTGTATTAAAAAAGCCAGCCTATTGGCTAAGGACTCTTACTAGGAGTTTAATAATTAAGATGATCAATCCACATATTTGGAGATTTTTAGTTAAAATAGTAATGGTTTAAAAATGGGTTTAATATTTTCCAATTTGTTTTTTCTTACCAAAGGTGGAAGTTTGATAAAGTGTCCTCCTTAGATACAACACACACAAAAACTCTTGTAAGGGTGGGCACAGGACATAAACATCTAAATGCCTAAGTCTATGGCAAATTTATTCTAACATCCAACAGCCTATTGACATATTCAGTCAGGCTTGCTCTGAAATGCACATCTGCTTCCACCCTAGTCCATTTCAAAAAAGTGATTCACCGCTCTCCTATCCCCTCAGGGTCAGAGTTCAATAACATCACTTTCCCACCTCCTCCTCATTGCTGATCTTTAGGTCCCCGCAGATTCCAAAAGACAAACTTACCCCCGATCCAGCCAGCTACAAAATCTTCCATAATTTAGCAGTGTCGTTCCAACTCCACCTGATGATCTATGTGCTTGTTTATTGTAAAAGGGTGCAGGGAAACAGGGTGGGGAGATGTGGGGGGTGATGGAGGGAGCCTTTAGAAGTTTACAAGCCCCATTCGGCTTCCTTTGCACGTGCTGTCTGCTAGCTATCCAGCCTTCAGCAGCTCTGATAACGTTCAGGGGTTTATCCAAATCCAAGGGCGGCTCAGAGCTATCCCAGCGCGTGTCTGACTCTACAAGTTTCAAAGAACTTGGAACTAGCAGAGCGGACCGCTTCACCTCTCCCACAGCTTGTCTCGAAGTAACTCACCGCTGGGGTTTTAAGAACGCCCCTGGACCTTAAAGGCACAGTACCCTGACCCAAGCAATAACTTGGCAGCGCCGGCGCAGAGCACTTCTTAGCACAGTCTGTACTGAAAGAGAAATTCAAACAAAAGCTTATGCTATCCCACCGCAACTGGCATGTTTGCAAATCACCATATGAAGAAAGTGCATACTCTTTTGATTTTGTAGCTCAGTAAAAAAAAAAAAGAAGAAGAAGAAGAAGAAGAAGAAGAAGAAGAAGAGAGAGAGAGAGAGAGAGAGAGAGAGAGAGAGAGAGAGAGAGAGAGA